AAGGTCCTGCGAGACACCTCTCTCGTCATCCAGTGATGAAGCGTCGTCGAAAGCAAGCGTCGCGCCATCTTTCATGTATCGTACGAAAACGATTCCATGTAAATGTATATGTCAACCTTTGAACCTGCCAACGAACTATCGTGCATTTGTCAAACGACTAGATGAGAGCAGGGCATCTCAAAAGTCAGTGGACAATTTCGACGAGTCTACCGCCGGTCAATTTCTCGTCTGGACTACAATGAAAGTGGCTTTGGTGAACCTGGCTGGTCGGAGTGATGTACGCCAGGGTAGCGACTACTCTCGTGTACTAGTAGATAACTCATTGGAGAGGCCTCTCGTGCACTTGGACGCCTTGTCGTCGCAAGATCAGGACTCTTCTTACCATGTAAGAGAGGCTGCTTTGGGGTTGTGCATAACCTTAAGGCATACAATTACTACCGGTTTCTCGCGACGTTGCCGCGACAGTGAGGATGCTCCCTGCCAACTCCTTCGCTACTTCACTCTACTACAAAAGGCCGCCATGATTGTACTACACATGTACATCTCCCTCACCACCGTCTGTACAATCATGTACGATGTTTGGCACACTGGCTTCACATAGTTCTTTTCTCTTGACCAAAGTACCAACTTGGCTCAAAACCTCTGCATCAGGGAGATAGGTGGAATGCGTGGGGGATCGACGCCACCATCATGGTAACCCTCCCGGCTTTTGTCGGCGTTCACTGTATAGCCGACTCGAAAATGAACAAGGCAAGTTGTAGGTCTTAGTTTTTAGTTTGCACTTATCACCATGACAACCTGATCTAAAATATCAGCAGGAAAATATATTGACCAGGACGGGGATTGAACTTTGTGCCAATTGATGTGACCACTACTATCCAAGGCTTATTTGCAAGTGTGGGCATAAGCAAGTGTGGACATAAGTCCGAGGATACAATACATGTACCTCCGCGTCGTTTGACGTGGTGATTCGGACAAGCTAGTGAAAGTTTAGCTCTTACAGCAAATATTAATTTTGAGGGGTGATGGATTCGCGTGGGGTCCACTTTACAGCTGGAACAGGACTCCTACGTGTACTGTGGCACGCTGAGCGACTACCTGATGCCTTTCGTTCATGTGAACCACCCCGATGAGTTCCGCTACCAGCGACTTCATCCTAACACCTGGCTACATGCAAGGCACAATCTGGTACCCCTCGTCTCAATCTGGTACCCCTCGCCTCACAAACCTGACAGGTAGAAAAGGGATTCCCCAGGATCCGTTATGTTTCAACATGATAATGCGAGTATCCTTGCGATCCGAGAGACGAAGTCGTTTTTGGCCGAGCTGGACGTACCGTTGTTGAGCTGGCCGGCCCTTTGACCGGATTTAGGGATTTAAATCCGATTGAGTACGTCTGGGGCTACCTCACAAGGAAGGTGTATGACAATGGGCGGCAGTTTGCGTCTGTTCAAGAGTTGAAATCTGAAATTTTGCTGCAATGGGAGTCCATTGACCAGGAGTACCTTGCCATGCTCATTCGGTCCATGATATCGCGTTGCATCGACGTGCTGCAGTGCAAGGGGGCGTTTTACTAAGTATTAGAAAAAAAACGTAACGTAAATTTTTGTAAATACAAGTCAGTGGTTTTGTTTTATGTGAGAATTTCAAACTGTACCTTTCACTTTTGGCCAGGTCATTTCCTGTAAATTCAAGTAAAATGTACTAGTAGATATGTTTGGAGTAATTCATGTAATTCATCGTAAGGCCAATCAGAAAGTACCAGATGAATTCCGAATCCAACCCGGTTCCTCTCAACCTGCCCATGTTGCAATTTCATGCCAAACGAGTTCATAGGGAAGGGAAAACCAGTGTACGTACCATTTATGGCCAGCACTGATGTACAATGGCGGATGACTTCTTCACTGTATCCACAAGGATAGACTCCCATGCCTTGATGGTGCTTCTTCTCTTTACGGGTGCATACATGACAGGTTTCTCCAACAGCCACAGCGCGTGGTGGAGCTGAACCCGTGCAAAGTCGTGTAACGGAGTTGAGCGCGCTGAGGGAGAACGGTGCGTGGCATTTCAAAGTAACATGTGTAAAAGGTTCTCGAGGTTGACCAAATTCAAGTGGAATGCCGTGGTGGTGACTCCAGGAAGCGCCCGCCTATGGCTGCCATCGTGAGCGTGAGTCTTAGCCCCGTCAAGCGCGTCGTCAAGTGTGCATCTTGACCGTCGGCTTATACGCATCGTTGCCCATGCGTTTTGCAATGACAGTTGGCCAGGAATCCAACCATCCGCCACCAGAACACTATGTGGCCAACCCTTGCCAAAGAGAACAGATGCTTCTCGGGGGGGCTGTCATCCCCGAGCAGCTTTCGTCCACAGGCCCTGTCAACGATTGCCCCATCGTGGATCGTGCGCTCAGGTAAGAGATAAGGTTCTATGGGCGAAATCAACGCTATTCCTTCAGTTATATCGAGTAGGCTTTCGCTGCAAATAACTCTAGTGCTAAATACAATATCGCAATAGACAAAACGAAATCCCCTGTGTGGAGGAGGGACGACGTTCCATAGCGCGTGGAAGCACTTGATGGAGATTTCGGACCCATCGCATGGTTTAGTATGAACTACGTGGGGGGCGGCTTCTTGATGAGCTGGCGTCGGGCAATGGCGTCCGCTATTTGCTTCTTTGTACACTGGAGGAATCGGTCAGGTTTGGTGTAGTCGGGTCCGTCGCCCAGGTCGAAACCCCAAATCTTGGCCTCCGCTTCTGGAGGCAAGTACACTCCGTGCTTGTCAAACAGAGCAGACATGAGCTGCAGCGACCGGATCTTGGTTTTGCTCGGTCCGACCCGCTCGTAGTCGCACCTGCAGTTTCCCGTCAGTGTTTGTTGGTCAGCAACGCCTTACATCATGACGCGATGGCGCTGCAAGTGGTCCGTCGGGAAGAGCTCATCGTTGTTTACGTGCTGTCCGACGTACGACATGTGGCTGTCGTCGACTTGGGTCGCTCGGCCGACAAAGTTGAGCCGGATGCCTTGCCTGCTGTCGTGGATGTGGTGATGAATGTCAGGGTTCAGTGGCTTGTCGCCGGTCTAGCTCACGTTGCTCACATCTCGAAATGAATCACCAAGAACAGCATGCACGTACATTTAGATTCACGTCGCCCATGAATGTATCGCTTGTGACAAGCTTGCAAAAGGCTTCGAATGGCTGGTTGACCACGTACTGAATGCGCTGGACGGCGACCAGTCCGTCGCCGTCGTAAAAGTACACGTAGTCGTCAACCGTCTCGGATGAGTCGGGTGGGGGAAACCCGTATTGTTGAAATGCCCGCGTCGAGTTGTATGCGAGCTGCTTTGTGATCCAGTCAACTCCAATTTGCCGTGTGTCGGGCCGTTTGACAAGTCCGACGTTCCGCCACGTCGACGAGATCGGATATGTCTAACGAGAAGATGAAGAGAAGAACTCGAAGGAGACAACAAGACACACCGGAATGCGAGTAAACACCCACGCTTTGAGGTCTTCCAGCACGACGTGCGCGCGTTGCACATGATGTCGGAGCTGTCCGTTCCGTTCTACCGCCGCGGTTTCTCCTTCATGCAGCGCCAATGCAATGTCTTCCCAAGACAGGATCGATGTCGACTGCGCTGTCGTGGCCATCGTCCCGCGCATCCTTTTACGTGCTTGCGCGAGCAACTCCTCTAGGACGACGACGCGTTCTCGCTGGAACGCTATCTCCATCTTGTCCTGTCGTCGATACATTGCCTGTTTCTGTCTCTGGTACATATTCTTCTTGAGCCGACGGTTCATGGCCTTGATATACGCGGCGGTGGTCTCGTCCGCCGACATGGGTGCGTCCATCGGCGTCGCGGTCGTTCTCTCCAATCTTAAAGTTGTCGTTCTTGATTCGGATTGGCAGATCCATTGCAATCCAAGTCCCAATGTTGAACTTGTACTGATACTCACACTAATTTCAACTTGAACGAATCAGGCCGTCAGTCAAAGCCAGTTTCGATCGGCGGCATCAGCCGCACGGAATGAGCTCAAGGCAGGAACAAGTAGAGACTCCAAAATCTATCGTTCATGGCGCTGTTGAACCCGTAAATTTATCATCCACCCACTGCGCCAACAGAAACGCAGCAGAACAACATGTCTATGATAGGTCTCCCTCTGTCCCACAAAAAATGCACGAGTTTGAGGAGGGTGCACGTGACTGGTAATATAAAATTGGAGATCAATTCAAGTCATGTGGTCTTCCTCCTCCAGTCGAAAATTGGTACCTCTGATTGGAGCGTGACGATGGCAGCATAGAAAATGAATCATTTTTCAAATATAACGTAGGCTCTCACTCTTCAATCGGAGTGCAATGACATTTAACCCCCATAATACTTTCCTCTACTGGGAGAATAAATTTGCAGTCAAACATGGGGCGATCACCGAGTGACGAATCAATGCTACATGTCGCTGTGGAGGAGGTGAAAACCACGAGGGTGTGAGGAGACGGGATATTTAGCCCCAAACCACGAGTAGTGGGTGTGTTGACCGAGCAAGTAGAGCGCCGTCGCGATGTGACGTCGGTCAGTGTCGTCCACACTGGGGTCGCGAAGTAGTCGTCGGACGTTCGCGCTCCAGGAGACCAGGGACGAGTGCCTCACTGCAGATACAAACGACGGCGGTTTGATCTCACACCGAGTTTTCTTGCCTTGTGTGCAAGACAACTGCAGCAAGCTTAACCCAGAGGTTGTGGAAGAGTTACTCCATGTGCTGCCATGGTGGATGCAGAGTCAATTGGGTAGATCAGATAGTTTGGGCCAGCTCAAGAACATGCGGTATTTTCGCCATGCGGTGGAGTGCCAAGTGCCAGACATTGCGCACACAATCATATTCGACCAAAACTGACACATGGTCTCCATCGCACTAATTGGCTCAATTCCTACTTCTCTCATGACATCAATGACGTCGTCTGACTCGTCGTCA